CACAGTGACACACTTCCTACAACAAGCCCACACCTACTCCACAAGATCACATCTCCAATAGTGCCACATTGGGAGCCACTTTCTCAAACCACCACAACAGGTAAATGAATAGAACTAGAAAAGAGTGAGGTATCTCAGATCCAGAAAGGCAAATATGGTATGTAATCTCTTATTTGTAGATATTAGCTGTTAAGTCAACAATAAGCAAGCTACAATCCATAGAACCACAGAGGGTAGGTACAGACTAGGGCACTAGGGGAAATAGAGAGTTCATGTTAGGAAAGGGAAATAGAATAGACAGATATGGTTGGAAGGAGTGAGCTCTAATGGGAGCATTAAGTTGGGAGGGGAAGGTAGGAGCAGGTTGTGGGAGGGGACACAGGGAGAGACAAAGTGTCTTCTGAAGTTTTACCAAATATCCATACATAAAAGGCTGCCCAACACTCCAGTGGGAATCAGTTTACTCTCAAATCATCTACAAGCCACAGTTTTGTGGGAGGGCACCACCAAGTGATGTGTTATATATAAAAAAACCCACACAGCAGTTGATGCTGCAACCTACACAGCTTGCAGGAGACAATATCTCATGAAAGTACAGTCCAGTGCATGGTGCTACCCACAATTAGGCAAATCCAGCTGCTGTTCCTGCATGTGAGATGCCATCTGTCTCACAGGACCCTAGAATGTTACAAAACTACTGTTAGGCTTGGCTTCCATGAGACTTGTATGCAAGGAAGCTCAAAGCTAGGTCTCCTTCATCTGGCATTTATGGCTCATTTGTTGCTCTCCCATTCTAAATTGGTTTTGTCAACTATGAATCATTCTACACAAGCCAGGCTGGCTAACAATATAATTTAGTTCATACGGTCTTAGTTGGACTCAGGTAACATTGTAGGGACTAACTAAATGTTCTATCTTTAACAACAAGGGAAGGGCTTACCGACTCTCCCATTCATTCTGTTCTCATGTGCCTTCCCTGTCTTACACACACTCAAATTAATGAGTAATTTTTTTACAGCCTTTTTACTTGTATATCTTCTATGTTTGATCCATCCCAGCAATGATAATTATTTGCTCTATCAATGTTCTACTTTTATGGATTTACCTATTTGTAGTACAGGGAGGATTATAAACACATGTTTCTTAATTCTAAGAATTTTTTTGCCATATTTAGTTATAACAAATAATAAGACTAGGCAGAGAAAAAACTCAGATGTTTATTATAGGGTTTGATTGTCTTTTCTCATCTTTTAGATGTAAAGGGCAAACTATTAATTTTTCAATAAAAATACTTCTCAAAAATAAATCTTTCCTAAAACCACTAGATGAAACAAAAAATATATAATCTTTGCTAAATTAATGCTTTCACGGTTTTAATTGAAAAAATGTGACTTTTTAATCAGATTGTCTTATGAATTAAAGATCATCATTAAACTATAGACCACAGAAGACTTGAATAGCTTTACATCCAACTGTTAATTCCACCAAATGAGGGTAAAGAATATCATTCAAATTTTTAGACAAATTAAGCAAGCATTGGTGTTTGTCAGACAGTGCTGTCTCCTTAAAGCAGGGTTTGAGACAACAGCCATAAACACAGGAAACGTGAGGTTTATATAGCTTTAAAAAACACCCACAAGAATAGGGAATTTCCAAGGGTTGGGGGATTTTTGGTTACCTAGGAACTGGGTTGTACATCTCAAAATTATTTGGCAGAACATTTTATCAGGGCAGAAGTCAGGGTGTCATCAGAGTATAGGATGTGGAACATGTCAAATTCCAGAAAATGGGCCAAGACATGGTCAAACCTGAATTTTGCAGAAAACAGGAATGAACTATTTTGACCTTGTAATATGATGGCTTCTAATCTTTTTTTTTTTTTTTTTTTTTTTTTTTTTGGTTTTTCGAGACAGGGTTTCTCTGTGTAGCTTTGCGCCTTTCCTGGGACTCACTTGGTAGCCCAGGCTGGCCTCGAACTCACAGAAATCTGCCTGGCTCTGCCTCCCGAGTGCTGGGATTAAAGGCGTGCGCCACCACCGCCCGGCGATGGCTTCTAATCTTAAGATGGTGTCAGGCTGGCCCATCACCAACACCAAGAATCTGAAATAAATAATGACCTCTGAATTTAATGTCATTAGCAATATGATCCCATAGATTCAGTTCATGAATTTTAATCCTCTCTAAAAGATGCTTAAACTGGTTAGGAAAGAGGAGCTTGAGACAAACAGCTGCTGCCAGTTAGCTGAAATATTCTTTGCACCTGAGCCCTGCCGAGCTGACACAATGGCTTCTGTGAGAATGTTATGACTCAGTCTTGTCCTGACATTTACCAGACTCAGATAATTTCACTCATTCTTATATGCACCTTTCATCCTTCCTGATCAGGGATCATCATTATCCCTACTTGGAACTGACTCAGATATGTGACAGCAGTCAACTCCTTAAAGGTTGTTGGATCCATATTCAGCCTGCTTTGCTTCATCCCGTTCTCTAGAACTCTGGAGCAGGTTGAATTTCTTGTAGAATTCAGATAAAATTTGAGAAATGTGATCTATTAGTATGAGAGTTTAATGTTGTTTGTTCCTACAAACAATTCCATATTCCAGTTACTCGTCAAATAAACCGTAATTATCAGCAAGAGAAAATGTAAAGAGGATACAAAGCAAACATGAAAGGTGGGTTAAGTGACAGGTGCAGGCAGAGGGTTAAAACTACCAATTCCCACTGCCGAAAGACTGAGGAAATAAGCTGCTAAAAGAACACAGGATCTTCTCACTCTGCAATGACATCCTGGTCAACCATGCTCAGGGGAGAAGAATGAGGGTTAAAGCCAGCTGGGTTCTATTCTCACCCTCCTGTGTCCTGATTCGATCATCCCCAACTATCCATGCTCTTGCTTTGTATATGTAGAAGGGGACAAAATATACAAGTCCTTTATTTCACCTGATATGTCTGTTTGGCAATGCTGAAATCCAGTCAAAAAGCTGGATGTGGATGAATGCAGGGTCTCTTAGGTGCATCAATGAGCCACTGTTTCCATGTGGACTGAGATTCTTACTTTTTATTTTGTAGGAGCGGGAAATTCATGTGAAATAAATAATTTACAATGTTTGCTTTGGACATCAGTGATTGATTTATAATGAGAACATTCCACAGTAATACAGAAACAAGTTTCTATAATACTAGTGTTTCTTCAGAGATGAAGCCATGCAAGATGTCTAATCTGGTACCTGGAAAGGTCCCTTTGCTCCTAATTATTAAGAGATATATATGCAGAGACTTTTGTATTAGATTATTCTTCCTTGGTTTTATTTTTATTTAGTTATCTTTCTCTACTGGCTTAATTGAGTGATAGAAATATGATAGATGATGCCAAATAAAACTCTTGAGAGATAGATGATGCCAAATAAAACTCTTGAGATAGATTTCATATAGAAAACACTTAAAAAAGAAATAAGATACATCTACTCAGTTGATTATAATAATTCAGTGGAGTCTCCCTGGGCCCTCCTTGTGAGGTATACTTTAGACTAAAACAGTGCCTCAGTTCCATATTAGTGACAACTAACTTACTGGGTGGTGTACATGTCGTCTTTTGTTTTCTACAAACAAACTCATCTTCCTGGCACTATCATTCCCATTTCATGAATGTGAAAATGGAAGCAAGTGGGAGTTTCATTATTAGTACAAGGTAACTTGTCTAGTAGGTAGTAGGATGGATATTGAAGTTCAGTAGTCAGGCTGCAGATCCCACATGGCTTAAGTACCACCACCAAAACACCAAAACTGCATCAAAAGCCTGAAAGAAAATAATCCTTGGTGCTCATTCAGAAATCGACAAGGAAGGACAACAGGTGTGCCTGGTAGGAGTCACCTAGCTTCTCTTGATGGGTCTAAGCTGCGCCTCGTCTGTCACCTTGACAACATCCACAGCCTTTCCCCTCACCATGCGCCATCACTGCCCTGCCCCCTGCTTTACTCACCGCTTTACTTCAGTTTGAGTTTCTGGTCTTGTCCTTTTTGTTTTTTTTTTTTTAATTCTCCTGGTTTGAATGACCACTTCCTAGATTAATAATAAAAAGGTAATGATCTTCCAAATATGCCCCCCCACATGCATTGAGCTCCAATCCCATGTCCAATGAAGCCTTGACTGTCAGCACGGGGTTGTCTCATAGGTCACTAAAGACGATCTTGTCTAAAAATGACTCCAGGTCTGTTAGATAGGCTGTGTTTACAAGTGTGCTTCTCTGCCCAAGTTCTCCATCTTGGACAATGATGTCATTTCCTAACTTTCATTCCATGAGCAACAACCCTCAACCCTGCCTCAACCCTTAATCGAGCTGTTCTTTTATCTTCCATGTTTCTTTGCTCTACTGTGAGTGTACTGGGCCATGCTATGCTTTTTTTGTCATCGTTTTCTTTGCCTGTTACTTCTGGCCCTGTATTTCTAAGACTATAATTCTCAAAAGTTAGAGTTTAATTTAGAAACATCTGCCATCTCTCTATCATTTCCAAGACAAAAACCCAAACTTGAAGCAATTGGAAAGCTTTTTACAAATATAGCAATATAATATATTCGTACGTAGAATGGTGTGTGTATACACACGGGTGTGTGGGTGTACTTTGTGTGCATACAGTGCATCTGTGGAGGCTAGAGGTTGGTGTTGGATGTCTTCCTCAATCATTGGTTACCTTATTGTTTTGAGTCTCTCTTTGAACCAAAATCAAAGGAGATCACTGATTTGGCTGGTCAGCAAACCCCACAGATCCATCTCACTGCTATGATTACAGGTATATGTTGCCGTGCCTGGATTTTGATGTAGGTGCTGGAGGTCTGTATTCAGATCCTCATGCTTTCACAGCATACATGTTACTGATGATCCATCTCCCAAAACTATAGTATTTAATTAAAATGAAATTATTGTGGCTTTATCTATGTCCTGCTGACACACCTGAGTAATCCAGAAACCCCATTTACAGAGTCAAAATCAGCAAGTCACCTTTGAAAGTGCAGACTGCAGCTGAAGAAGACAGTATCTTTTATTTGAAAGCTCTTTCTTTTTGCCCTCTTCATCATCCTGGGCTGATCCAATTCTTACACCCCCACACTGCCGCCATCTACTCCCTCTTCTTGGATTCAGCCTTGAAGGAGTGGTGCTGCAAGAGAGCATGCCAGGAGGAACAAGTCATCAGGTTCTGATTTTAGATGGATTGCTTAAAACAAATCTAACCAAAATAAAGCAAAAAATATAAACCTTTCATACTGCCAAGCAACGTACCCTGCCAATGTCTCCAGTGTGTTTTGGATCAGCTGAATCATGTTCTGTCAAAATTCACATGCAGAAATTCTATTCTCTCAAGTCTCTGAATGTGACTATGTTTGGAGCTGGGGTCTCTGATGAGGGGATTCAAGGAGAATGAGATCAACAGGATGAATCCTTATAGGAAGAGAAAATTAGACAGAAGGATAATTACATGAGGACTAAGAGAGAAAGAGGCTGTCTTCCAACCAGAACAAGAGAGGAGAGTCCAAGAAGAAGCTAAGCATGCCAATACATTAATCTCTGACTCTGGCAGTGTAAGGACATAGGTTTCTATGGTGATAACCACTGAGTGCACAGCGCTTCATCACAGCAGTTCTAGCAAATTCATACAATCTATAAACACTGCCTGGTATGATGTTTTGATTTATTACCATGTATCACACTTTGTTCTATGTGGTTTGTATATATTTAACTTATTTAATCTTTAGAATAGCTGCAAAAGGGTACTATTTATACCTCTGTTGTGTGGGTGAACAGGCTCCAGTATGGACAAGCTAGTTAATGTTATTGAATAGAATAGCTAGAAACTGGAGGGACTGTGATTTGTAGCTGTGACAGGATTGAATACAGTTTGTGATGACTGCAGAACTCCTTTATACATTTCAGAGCTGGGATGCTCCTGACATCCTGCATTCTTGGTTTGAACAAGATGTCACTCTCCTTGTTCATAAGCAGTGCTAGTCCTCGTATATTCTTGGACCTACACTGTGGCTCAGATCAACAGTCTCCTTCTTTGTGGGCCAATTTCATTGCATGGCAATCCCTGTGTTGGCTGTAACTGATTGTAATCAAGGTGTCTGTCTCACTTTCTGAGCTCATGGGGATTGGAGCTAACCACACTTCACATTATATTCTGAAGTACAGAGCAGTGGTGGGTAGCACACTACAGTGAAAGCAGGGCTTGTCAGTCTGTGCTACAAATGGTAAAACCCACTCTGCTGGATACTGAGATATCTTTCTCTGTCATTTTGGGCATCTACAATACCTCAAAAATGAAGTACAGTGACATAAAAACTGACCTCCTGGATCCATTCTAACGTTCTAACGTTCTCCATCAGGAAGAGAAATGGGACCCCCGCTCTTCTTCTAAGGCAGTGCTTCATGCTGTTGAGCTGCCGGACTCATCTATTCCGTGCCACAGTGATGAGGGGAGGTGGCTAAGGAACACATCCAGGCAGCCACGTTTCTCAACCATCACCCATCCTGTCAATGAAAAATAATTCCACTATTCCTTTTTGTCAGGAAGCGTTTCACTTTTTGAAGTGCTTGCTGCCTTTGGAGAGGAGAATTCCAGTGAGTACCTTTCAAACTTGAACTTACTGCTGTTTTAGTGTAAGCTCCTGGTTGGAAACCTTGAAATAACGATTAACCACACCTGGGCTATAGATGATTCACCTTTATCGACACCGAAGTGCTTAAAAAGAAAACTATGGACTGGAGAAACAGCTCAGCTGTTACGAACACTATCTGCTCATCCAGAGAACCAGAGTTTGATTCTCAGCACTCATGCCCTCATAGCCCTCTTCTGGCTTCTGGGGGCACTACATACACAAGGTGTATAGACACATGTGCAGGCAAAACACCCGTAACCATAAAAATAAAGAATTTAAGAAATTATAAAAAGAAAACTACAGCTACACCCAATATTACCAATGGGTTTCCCAAAGTGGCTATACAAATTTATATTCCAATAATAAATGGGCATTCTAGATGTTCTGTTAATATTGCTACCTGATGTTAGAAGTCTTTGGTGTTGTGTGTGTGTGTGTGTGTGTGTGTGTGCGCGTGTGTGTGTGTGTGTGTGTGTGTGTGTGTGTAGTTCTGTGCATGTGAATATGTGAGTGCAGGAACCAAAGGAGGCCACAAGAGGCAGCAGGATCCCCTGGAGCTGCAGCCACAGGTGCTGCTGTGAGCCTCATGAGATTGGTACTAGGAACAGAACTCAGGTCCTCCGCAAGAGCAGTGCACAATCCTAATAGCTGAACCATCTCTCTTCAGCTCCAGTCTTCAGTGCTTTAACTGAGCTACTCTTGTAGATTTATAGCTCTGTGCATCATTTAATTTCTCTGATACTTAATGGGGCTTAGCAGCTTTCTATATATTTAGACCCATATGTTTTGTGTAGAATATCAGTTCATGTCTTTTTGCCCCTTTTCCTACTGAATTGTCTGTTTTCTGTAGTGACTTGGGGAAACACTGCAGTTTTTCCATTTTCAGGGCAAGAATATAAGTATTTTACCTAATTATAGTCTACTTTTACTGGTCTTTGTGATAGTTTATTCAAGAATGGCCCCTCTAGGCCGTATGTTTAGATGCTTAGTTCCTATTTGGTGGATTGTTTAGGAAGGATTAGAAGGGGTGTTCTTGTTGGAGAAGGTATGTCACTGGGGGGTGGGCTTCAAGGTTTCACACATCCATGCCAGGCCCAGTCTCTCCTTCTGTCTGCAACTTATAGTTCAGATATGAGCTCTCAGCTCCTGCTCCGACATCAGGCCTGCCCGTCTGTTTGCTGCCTTATTCCCACTGCGATGCTCATGGATTACTTTTGTGGAACTGTAAGCAAATCCCCAATTAAATGCTTCCTTCTCTGTTACCTTGATCATGCACTTCATCACAACAATAGAACAGTAGCTAAGACACCCTTCTTAATTTTAATGTAGTTTATCAATCAGCATTTTACCTACAGTAGAGCTATGCATTTATCACATTATGTGACCCCAATATAAGATAGGAAATGTGAAGAGGTATTTTTCTTTAAAATAAGTTTCAAATAAGTTCCTTTTATTCTACCAAAATTTTCACAATCAGAAATGTTTATCAATTTTAAATATTTTTTCTTGTACTGGTTTCTTTTTTCTCATTTTTATTAATTCTTTGAGAATTTCATAGAATATGTTTTAATCATATTCACCCTCCTCCCCAACTCTTCCCAGATCTACCTCTTGCCCACCCAATTCTGTCCTCTTTAAAAAGAAAAATCCATCAAGCCGTGGTGGTGGCACACGCTTTTAATCCCAGCACTGAGGAGGCAGAGCCAGGCGGATCTATGTGAGTTCGAGGCCAACCTGGGCTACAGAGCGAGATCCAGGACAGGCATCAAAACTACACAGAGAAACCCTGTCTCGAAAAACCAAAAAAAAAAAAAAAAAAAAAAAAAGAAAAGAAAAGAAAACCCATCAAATTCAGTTTGTGCCACCCATATATTTTTGAATATGTCACCTTCTGCTGCAGCATGATTGACCTACCAGAGGCCACATCTCCTCCCAGCAGCTGTCAGTCACCAATAACTCCTAGACAGGACTGGGACTTCGTGGCCACCTTCCTTCTCCATGCCGGACCCTTGTCTGGCTTGGGCCTGCACAGTTCTCCCTGGGTCTCTCAACTGCTGCCAGCTCACATGAGCAGCCCCTTGCTGTGTTCAGTGAACTCTCTTTCCTTGTCCTCTGCTGCTTCTGGCTCTTACAGTCTTTTCAGCTCCTCTTCTGAAATAGTAATGAGTCTTAGGAGGAGAGGGTGTGATATCAATTGAATAACAAAAGTCTTAAACTGCAGAAAAATAAAAAGGCTCATGTAGGGACAAAAATAACTCTCTCCTCCTTAGATGTTAGGATTCATAACTAATATAACCAAATATCTAAAGCATAATTAAAATAATTCTTTCCAACTACTTGTACTTTTCTTTGTTTTATATAAATTCTTTTTTTTGAGATTACAATATAATTGCATTATTTCTCTTTCATCTTTCAAAACCCTCCCATACACCTCTCCTCCTATCTTTCAATTTCATTGCCTTTTCTCATATATGTACATGTATATAAGTATACATACATATGTAAATTATATGTATATATTTCTTACACATTTATAATGATATAAATTTCATTTATATATATTTCACACATATATATGTGTATATATATAGATATATATTCCTAAATATAATTAGCTCAGTCTATATGTGTTAATCGTATACATGATTCAGGGCTGACCATTTGATATCAGTCAATTGGTGAGCTCTTCCCTAGGGAAGACTGTTTCTCAGCATTCCTTCGTTTCCTGTAGTTCTCAGTGAAGGGCTGAGGCTTCCTGGGCTCTCCCTTGTCCACTTTAGCCTGTCTACTGTCGTTCTCGTTCTGAGATACCTGTATTCTTAATTTTCTATCAAATTCCCTTTTCAAATGATTTCTAGCTTTCAAAAGTTAAAGTAGAACTGCACAGCTTTTTCTACAAAATTTTCTTCTAAGAAGTCATTTTTCTGGTTGCTTTGGACTTGAAACTGCCTTTGAGGCACTAAAAATTTCAGCACTGCCATAACTTTTATTACTTCCTTCTGTTCATTAGAAATACTAAGACAGAAATTATTGTTGTATCATGATGCCAATGAGTCTGTAATTAGAATTTTTTAGATAGAAAAAGGCAATTATTAGTTTCCTGTTTGAGTCACAGAATAAGCTTCCTTTATGGTTTCAAGTATTGCTACTTCACTGCAATATATGTGCAGGGAGGGTGTTGATAGTACTTGTCATGACTTGGGCTCATTGAAATTTTACTGACTAGGGATGAATGCAAGCTTCTGTCAAGAGAATTCTTCAGGGTTTCTACATAATAAGAGTCTTTCTGCTTGAAAAGATCATTACCCCACATTATGAAATGTTTCAGAACAAAATTTGGATGATAATTCATTTTGTTTATTGACAAATGGAACCCAAGAGTCATCCTTTTAGGTATTTCTGTCCTATAATCAACAGAGTCACCTTAATGGTTTTGTCCTAAATTATTGACCTTCATTTTAAAATGTTGGACTGCAAGCAGTTAAAAAGATCTCTTTATGAGTCAGATACATGAAGCAATGGAATTGTCCACTGTTCCTGAAAGGTAAGGAATATTTCCCCAAGGAGAGAGACCTTGAGGTGGGTTAAAAAAGTGTAGATTACTTACCCAGACAAAACCATACAGTCCAAGACAGAAAGACACACACATAACCAAGTTTAGTAATTCAACTTGTTAAGGGTAAGTGTTCAAGTGACATGCTTGAATTATAGTCTAACTAAATCAAAAAAATATTAAAAAAAACCAGTGGATGGTAGCTTCCCCCAGCCTAGCGCTGAAGCTTACTGAAATAGCAGCAGTTTAGGGATGATGCGGTGTCGATTGTGCCTTAATGAGCTCTATATTTAAGCCATCACTCTTCTTGTATATGCCACAGTCACATTTTCTTCATCACAACTGACAGTGAGTTGCTTTAACTAGATCTTATTTCTTTTTCTCAACTGTGACATTATTTCTAACTATAGTATCATATTTGATGAATCTCATTTTTTTACATTTTCACTTTTAATCGCTTCATTTAAACATAAAAGTTGGCACAAACCTGTTTTCTTTCTCTAGTCTTATTCTTCACAAATATGTTCAACTTATCTCAAGGTATCTTATGCTTTATCCAAATTTCACTTTAATATTATAACAACCTTTTGAAAGATCTTCTTTAGATCTAGCCAAACTTTTACAGGCCCTACACTTGCCTCCACTTCTGTGGTATGAACTCTAAGAGCAGGGTACCATCTTTGAAGTAGTAATGATCATAGAGCATTAGTTTTCCATAATTATTTACTATGAGGCTACATTTTTAACTCGTTTCATAGATGTTGTTTTTTGTTGCTCTGTATTAACTTTGACCTCTTTTGCCTTGTTTAATTGCTTATGTCTTCCTTTTATTATATTAATAATAAAAACAAGCTTTTGGGGAAGATTACTTACTCCTGCTAGCAGCTTTATAAAATTTTGTTTATCACTTGCAATAAGGAACATGATGCCTAGAAAAGTTCAATGGGTCATCTTTTAGTAGAAATAAGTGCCAGAAGCACATTTAGAATTTTGTTTGGCAAGTTTCTAAGATTATGTCCTTACCACTATGGAAGCCAATGGTAAAGTATTTATTTAGATACTTCATGCATCTAACACTAGGTTGCTGGAAAGGAAAAGAAGTTGAATATAATTTTTAGACAAGGTTTCATTAAGGAATCTTGGCCTTGGATTTACAGAGAGATGCTTGCTTCTGCCTCCTACATGCTAGGATTAAAGGCATGTGCCACCACACATGATTTAACAAAAATAAATTTTCAAAATTATCCTTTCCCTGTGAATCCCTAGCCTATTTAGTAAGCCAAGAATTCTGTATATGGAGAATATTTAAGATATTCCTAACTATTATGACACTAATCATTTTCTATATATAGGAATGATTACATGTGAGATGTTACAGATTCCTTTCTGTTGCTGATAATATATTTGGACCAAAAGCTACTTAGCAGAGGAAAGGATTTATTTCTCTTTACATTACAATCCATCATTGAAGGAAGTCAGACAAGAATTCAAGTAGGAACTCGAAGACAGAAACATGAGGAAACACTGTTTGCTGTCACAGTCACTTGTAAGCTAATGCTTAACTAGCCTTCTTATAAAGCCCTGGACCACCTGTGCAGGGAATGGTGCCTCCCACAGTGGGCTAGGCCCTCCTCCATCAATAGACAATCAAGACTGTCACAGACATGCCCAAGGACCACAGTGACAAAGGCAACTAATCAATACGGACCTACTTTTCAGGTGACTCTAGATTGTGTCAAATTAACATATGTCAATGCCAACTCGTACATGAGTTATTTGTCTAATACACAAAGTTCATAGGATTTAGTTTGATTGAATTTTAACTTATATGGTACACTAATGGTGTTAAATGATCAAGGTGGAGCCATTTCAGAAAAATGCATCTTGGAAGAGACATGAGTTGAATAGGATTTGCATCTTTCTCTGCCACTGGATTTTCATTCTTTACTAATTTTTCATATTTAACCTAATTTATTTTTCCATTAGTTTTTTTATATTTGCTCCATATGACAGATAATATTCCTGTGCTCATCAGATGTCAAAGGTAACACCTCACATAGGATCAAACAGAAAAAGTAGTGTGAGTCTCTGGTGATGAAGTATGGGAATTTAAGTGAAATTATAATTGAAATATGGTGAAGTTTCTTAGCCTGAGACATTCTTTTTTTAAAAAAATGTAATTCAGTAGTTACAGACTATTGATTTCTTCCCTTAACATTTTAGGTTTCAATAGGACAGAACCTCATAATAACCCATGGTTCATCAGCTCCTGAAACAATAGGGTTTTTTTTTTCAATAGCAGGAAGTATTTTTCATTTTTTGGGTCAGGATAAATTCTGTAAAGTTCATTCAAAATGTTTTCTTTTGCTTACTAATATTCCAAGAGATATTTGTTTTCAATGTGTGCAAAGATATTTTAATGTTCTCTACACTTTTATGGAAGCATATATCTATGTATGAGGTAGATATGCCTAAAAAAGAATTCACCCAAATTTATCAATTTCTCAATTTTATTTTTTGAGATTATAATATAATTACATATTTTTTCCCTTTCCTTTTCTTCCTCCAGTCCAAAAAGAACAGGGAATTGGCTGTAAGACCACTTCTTATGAGTGCCAGAAGTCATACCCAAAAGTCTCATCAGCATGACGGCCAAAACATGACCAGAACAAGTCCAGCACCAATGGACATATTGTTGTGGACGGGGAAGCTCAGGAGGCCTCATCCCTACATAAAGAGCTAAAGGCAGCTAAGGAATTCTGAGGGTAGAAAAAAAGTCTTCCCACTGGTTATCCAATACCAAGAGGTTAGCCCCGAGAATATACATATGAATAACAACGGCTAAGCAGGCTGTATTTATGAATACATATGTATGTGTGTGTAACAGATTTATCAAAGTTTATGCTTCACTTCCATCTCTCACTAGCCCTGTCTGTATTACTAGGTAAGGACTCATTACAGTGTGTGTCATACTGTGGCCTGTATTTTAGTTACTAGTTTTCATTGATTCTCCATGTTTAACATTGAAATTAGTTTTTGAGAATCCCTTAACTTGTGTTCAATTGAAAGTTCTTTAAGAAGTTTATTCTAGGATTTGATAATTCTAATTTTAATGAGGTTGTTCTTAGCTGCAAGGGACAAAAAAACAGATTGCAGTTTAGGCTACAGCTGATCTCTCACAAAGCTGGAAGTATAGCAATTGTAGGTGCAGATTGGGATTTCAGAGACTCAAATGTAAATTTTAAGGCCCCAGGATTTTTCCACATTTCTTCTCTGACAGTCTCTGCTTGCCAAAGTCATGAGAGGAATGACGCAGTTCCTAATGTCATGAGCCTTTACTACAACGTGGTCATGATCTCTCATGGTCATTATAGTATGACACAGTTCCTAATGTCATGAGCTCTTACTACAACATGGAATACATGGCAGGAAGAAATGGTTTCCATCTGTTTGTTACCCAGAATCCTTCCCCAAAGCTTCTGTAGGAGACTTCCTGTCATGATTATTAACCAAGATGAGCCACTTGTCTCAAGTATATGATCAACTGGAAAGAAAATGAAATAATTGTGTCCACCTTTAAAATCCACCAGATTCCCTGGAAGTGAAGATTGGAATCACCTTTCTGGGGCCCACACTCCAAACAGGTAAGAGGAACACCGAAAAGGTGCTTTGTCTCTGCCAGCCGAAAATGCAGTGTATTTAGAAAGTTAAGAAAATCACTCAAATTCTGTATTATTATCCATCTTTTTCTCTATGGTATAATATGGTCTCTGACACTTTCCCGTTAGAAGATAGCTTTCTCCAACATTTCCTAAAATCTATGTGTTTTTGTACTACTTAGATTATTAGGTTAAATACTTTGAACAATATATATATATATTCTTTGAGAATTTCACATCATACACCCTAATCCACTCACCTCCCAGTCTCTCTACATCCACCCCTCACCCCTACATCCTTCCCCCACCAGAAGAACTTCCCCAATTAATTAAAAACAAAGTGAAACAAATAAACCACCTCACTCCTGAGTCTTACCCATCTCTCCAACACCTCTTCATTTATCCTATCGGCACTGGGAGATGCAGTGTGTCACACAGTGTACCCCTTTATCCAAACAGCCTCTCCTGCAAACGTTAATTGCAATTAGTCATTGGTCTGGTTCAAGGCCTCTGGCCTCTGGCACACCATCATCACTGGACCCTTACCAGAATGCCTCTTGGATATACTGCAGCTATTATTCTACAGGACCAGTCCCTTCATGTGCTCCCACAGGTCATACATGGGGCAGCTGTTAGGGTGGGCCAACCCAAAGCCCAGAACGTGGGTCTGGGTGGTAGCTAATCTGGTCATTCCCAGGCACTGGGACTGCCCCCATTTAAGTGAGGGGCAGAGCCAGCTCTCCTATGCCCAATGGTGGCAAGGAGTTGGGGGTGGCACAGTTCTCCCATGGGAGTCAGGCCAGGTTTCTCACTGCAGTGTCCATGGAGAGGTAGGGCCAGCTATCCCAGGACCAGTGAAAAGCTGGGCCAGCTCAGCACAGGTCTCCAGATTTCAACATACATGGTTCCCATGCCCCCCTGTGGTAACATGGGCCATGGATATCTACACAGACCCCAGCTGCAGCAGGACCACGGGCCCAGACATGGCCTTTGGCAGCAGCTTGGGCCCAGGCGTCACCATGGCCCCAGGTGGCAGCATAAGTCACTCAGATCAGTATGGCCTCAGCAGTGGCATGGCCCTTGGACACCAACATGGGCTCAAGTGGCTGACCAGACCCCTCACATCCACATAGTCCTCAGTAGTGACAAGATCCGTGGACATCAACTCAGATCCTGGCTGCAGAAGGGCCTCAGAATAGTTATTTTTTATTTAAGTAGGACTCACAAGTGGGGTTGCTTCTCTAACACTGAACCCAGGAGCCAGTTCACTGCATCAACTTCATGAACATATCAGATGCACAAATGGCACCCTATCCAGAGAAGAGTAATTGGGACTTCTTTATTTCCAAAGTTAGAATTTATGAATGTTGTAAAAACTCATTTTAAGAGTGTTTTTTCTACCTATCAGGAGAGGAAAATGTCCTCTCTCAATATGGAAATGGGTGGAGAAAGAAGCCAGCCATGAAGGAAATGTTTTCTTTGTCCAGGTGCATATGGCGATATCCTAAGAACGCACAACAGGCAGAAATTTAGAGATGAGAGGGATGGAGAATTTGGATCCCTGACCACAAGGTAGGAAATTTAGAGATGAGAGGGATGGGGAATTTGGATCACTGACCACAAGGTAGGAAATTTAGAGATGAGAGGGATGGAGAATTTGGATCACTGACCACAAGGTAGGAAATTTAGAGATGAGAGGGATGGAGAATTTGGATCACTGACCACAAGGTAGGAAATTTAGAGATGAGAGGGATGGAGAATTTGGATCACTGACCACAAGGTAGGAAATTTAGAGATGAGAGGGATGGAGAATTTGGATCACTGGCCACAAGGTAGGAAACTTGGGGTCAATGAGAATGGCACAAAGTCCAGGTCCTGACATGATATCTGTGATCAGAGTTGATGGACAGATATTCCCCAGATGCCAAAACGTCACAAACTTAGCATCTTGAATAATACATATTTGCTATCTTCACATTTTTACATGACTCCAGTACAGGGCTGGTTGGACCAAAATCAAGGAGGGGGCAGAGCTGCGTTCTTTCTGAAGTCTTGAGGTGAGTCTGTCCCTTGCTTCTCCTAGCTCGTAGGGGCTGCCCTTGTTCCTAGCTTCCTTACTAACTCCTTGGGTTTCAAAGGCGGTGTTACCACAGCGCTTATACCTTCTGCCTATCATCCATCCTTCTGACCACAGGAGGGAAGAGTTCTCTGCTCTGAGAGCACATGTGAAGAGACTGGGCTCACCTGGCTCATACACTCTCCTTGCTGTCTCCCGAGGCCCTGAGTTTTGTCATACTTGCAAAGCCCCCTTTGTTACACGCACAGGTTTTAGGGTTTGGGATATGGATATTTTGAGGAACTGTCATTCTTTTCATCACAGATGGCATGGTTTATCCAGCCTGCATGAGCCACCAGAAAGTGCTCACCCACTTCAAACTTCCTACCTTCACTTCTGTGAGCATGAAGGGAGGTCCTTGTCTGGATATTTTATCTGCTAGAGAAAGGACAATGGACTTCTGCCCCGATCTCCCAAGGACAGGTGCACTGCAGCTCCCAGGAAAGTGCAGTAAGTCCATTTGGTGAGAGGAAGCGTCTCTTGCCTTCCTGGGTTCCCCAACAAAGGGCTCAGGTGATGGTGAACTTGAGGCTGCATTTTCTGAAATTGATTACGAGGATGGAAACTGCTAATTTCGGTTCTGTGTGGAACAATCTTGTTTGCTTAGTCCCTCCATCACGTTCTGAGAGAAGACATAATAAAGTGCCACCACCTGAGTGGCTTAATACAGCAGCTGTTCATTCGCTCGTGATCCTGGAGACTGTAAGTCAGATATCAAGGGCCAGTAGATAGAGCCTTCTTTACAGTCTCCAGAGACAGTTCTTCCTTGACTTTCATCTGGTGCCTCCTGGGTTCTTAAATTGTGATAATATGATTCTAACTTCTGCCCTCCTCTTCAGTAGGTATTTTTGCGTCTTCTCATAAGCTGTATGTTTTCCAGAATGCCTGTTACACTGGATTTGAAGCCCATTCTGCTCCAGTATGACCTATCTTAATGAAGTACACTCTATAATGAATAAGGTCATTCTAGGGTTTGTGGGATTAGGACTTCAAACTTTATTTTTTTTCCTTAGGAAATAAATTTATCCTATAACATTAACCAAGAAAAAAATCTGTGTAATATTGCATCTTATATTTCATGGAGTTGTTTTTACATTTTCAGGCATTTAACTTTCTTCCCACTCTAAATCATGAAAGATTGATGCCCTTCACAATGCTTTCCTGGTCCCAAACTGCAGTCATGTCTCTTATAAAAATGATTTTACTGCTATTCTCCTTTAGAGACTATCACGTATTTTTAATGAACTTTTCTAGTTTCAGAGTTTAGGCTCTCTTTTTTGTTTATTTGTTTTTTAAATTACTTTACCTTATGTGTACAGACGCTTTGCTTGCATTTATGTTTGTGTAACATTTGAGTACTAGTGGTTCCTGAGGCTAAAAGGTGTCAGAGCCCCTACACCTGCAGTCAGAACTAGTTATGAGCTGCTATGTGGGTGCTGGGAATGAAACCTGGGTCCTTTGGAAGAGCAGCAAGTGCTCTTACCTGCTGAACCATCTCTCTAGCCCCCTCCATTAATTGTTTTTAAGACAGGGTTTCACTATGTGGTCCAGGTTTATTAGGCAGAGTTCTCTAGAGGAACAGAACTAATAGCATGAGAGAGAGAGAGAGAGAGAGAGAGAGAGAGAGAGAGAGAGAGAGAGAGAGAGAGAGGCTTATTAAAGGGGAATTTATTTATTGGCTTATCTTACATGATAGAGCTGGGTCATTAAACAATGGTCAACTACACACTGGAGAGGCATAGAATGAAGTTTCCAATCCAGAAAATGAAATGACTCAACAGTTCAAATCCAACACCGAAAGATTGAAGATTCTGGAGAGTGACTGTGAGTGAGATCACGTTGAAGACTGAGGAAACTGGAATCTATGCCTGTGGGCAGCAGCAGTGATAGACATAATCACCCAGTGAAGACAGCTACTCACCAGCAGCGGCTTTCCCTTCTTCTTCTCTTCTTCATCCATGCAGTGTGCTTCCTTGTATTCGGGGTATGTCTTTTCCCTCTAGTCAAGGTCCCAGATGCCATTCCCCTCTGGACATGCACCCACCACACACAGCCACACTTCAACAATCCTCGGCATCTTAGTCCAGTCAGGTTGGCAGTTCAGAGAGGCTAGCTTAAACTTACTTAGCCCAGGCTAACCTCTAACTTGAGATCCTCCCGACTCTTCCTAAGTGCTAGGAATACAGGTATGAGCCACCCCCAAATCAGCTTTCAGTCCCATTTTCTGATACCTAGGACTTCAACCCCAGGAAACTGATCCATTTTTCTCAAAAGCATTGGCTGGCAAGCTTTTAAGACTTGATGGGAAAGATCATCATGCTCATGTAATGAAATCTGCAATAGGCTTGATGGTAGCAGCAGGAGTGTTTTCTGCTGATCAGGAACTTCCTGATACTGAATATCTAGTGTCTACTTGGCATTGAAGTGTAGTCAATGTCTATACACTTCAGAGTATGTTCTTCAAAATCACACATCAAACCCTGTAGGAAAAACATAATGATATATAGCTTTCCCCTACTCAACATTTACTATGTGCTAGAAATGATAAACAATTAAAAATTAAATTAGGTAACATATGTTACCTAATTTAATTTTTTCTCTAATTTAATATGCACACTTTTATTGGTAGGTAGTATAATTTCAGTTTTGCATAGAAAGACAATTAAGGACTAAAACTGTTTCCTAAAGCTATGCTACTAATTGAGGTGGGCTCAGGATTTACAGCAGATTTTTCTGATTCCAAAGTTATTTACAAATTGGCTCTTGGATGATGTCCCTTTTCCTCAAGCAGCTCTTAAAATCTCTTGGTTCTTAGGAGGCGTCCTTTGCACTATAAGGGCTGTGAACTGGTTGCATCTATTATGACATACACAATTACCATGTGCTCTAATGTTTTGATGAAGAAAGACAATATAATTTTTCATTGATAAATCACTCTGTATGTTTTGTGAGTCTCTAGAACAGCCCTAGCCAACAACTCAAAGGGGGACTTTCTGTGTCTAGAATAGCTGTTTTTGTTAGGTGGTCTTTGTATTTTGGATGGAGCACCCATCCAACCCAGGTGAGAAAAGTTCATTAAAGCTATATATGTGTACACACAACACACACACACACACACACACACACACACACACACACACGCACGCACGCACGCACGCACGCACACACGCACACACACGCACACACACACCCTACATAATGTGTATTTTGTTTCTTAGATAGTTAGTAGGATTCCTTGTGGCCTTTTCAGACATCCTTGTTGCTGTTTCACCCACCTCCCTTCTTCTTTATTTGCCCTCTCCACCCGCCCTAAAGAGGCTCCCCTATCTCATTTTCCCTACAGAAGGAGGGAGGAAGCAACTCCATTTGTATTTATTATGATTCCAAGTAACAAGACCAATATTAATAATGTTAATTTAAACTGAACTTTTTTGTCTAAAACAATATTTATTTTTGTTGTGTATGGGTATTTTTCTGGCATGTATATCTGTGTACCATGTGAATGCCTGATATTCACAGAGGCCAAAAGAGGGTATTGGATCTCCTAGGACTTGAGATACACTCAATTGTAAGCTGCCATGTGGGTGCTGGGAATCAAACCCAGACCCTCTGAAAGAACAGCCAGTGGTAACTGCTGAGCCATCTCTCTGGTTCCCTGAACTTCTTTTCCCTTTCATTGAAAACATGTTTTTCTTACATAATATATCCTGATTACGGTTTCCCTTCCCGTTACTCCTTCCCTCCAATCCAGAGCCATTCTCTTTCTGACTTCGATGGGATAATAATAAAATAAAATATGGTATAGTAAGATAAATCAAAAGCTAACACATCAGAACTGGACAAAACAAAAGAAGGAGAAGAGCCCAGGACAAGGCACAAGAATCAGAGATCCACTTGTTCGCATACTCAGGAATCCCATAAAAACAGTAAACTGCAAGACATAGTATATATGCAAAGAACCTGCAGGAAAAAGAGGAAGAAAAATATATAAATAAGATAACATGAAAATAAAAAAATAGTAAGATAAAATTTACAAAAAAGGAAGAGCCCTGACATGACATTATGAGACAAGGAACCTCGAAAGATACCTTTGAGTTCACATTCTGCTGATCATCTACAAATATAAGGGAGATGGCCTACTCTTAAGAGTAGTTTGTCTCTCAAGTGAGACACCCTTGAAGAAAACTAAATTTTAATTTGCAAGTGACTATCAACTGGAGATTATTTCTCTGTTAAGAATAGGGGCATGTGTCTGCTTTTCCTTCAGTTCTAGGACCCCAACTGGTGCAGACCTGTGCACGCTACTGCAATATCTGTGAGTTCATATGTATGTCAATCATGTTGATTTAGAGAGCCTTGTTTTCTTGCTGTCCTCTATCCCCTCTGGCTCTTATACTCTGGGAGGCATATTATAGAGACATTCTGTTTAGAGCCGAGTGTTCTAATCTCATTCTCTGCCTAACATCTGGCTGTGCATCTCTATATTTGTTCCCATCTCTTGCAGGAGGAAGTTTCTCTGACAATGAG